CATCCAACTCCACTTAGATTTCCTGAATATTTTCCTGTTATTCAATGTTCTTTTACATGATTTTAATACAGCATGATATTCCATTAGAAGAGGTAGATATCCATCTCTTCTCGTATTAATAGGCATTTATTCTAATTTTATTATAAAATGAATCTTTGCTTACAAATGTTTGTATACAGCTATAACCATTTTTAGAGAAACCAGCACAGTTTCAGTGTTCTGGTATATTGTTAATTCATAGAGTACATAGCAATATATGTTTTCACCAACAGTATATGAAAATGCTTACTCATTTAAAAATCTGAACTGTATAAAAAGTACACACTGAAAACTAACTCCATCATAACCCATTATCAGTTTCTCATGTATCTTTCAGAAACAGCAAGTACATGAAAAATATGCAAAGATATGTGTATCCCTTACTATTAATAGCAGCGTGCTCTCTATTTTCTTTTCTCAATTAACATATTTCAGGCATGATACTTTATAATTTTCTAAAATCTGCCTCATTTTTTTCAAAACTATGAATATCCATTGACTAGATATGTTACTGATGGGCCACTTCCCACTTGTTTCAATAAAGATACTTGAACATAGTTTACCCAGTCTGTACAACAAATTCCAAGGACCATAAATCGTACAAAACTCCAGGAATCAAAGTGCTTGTTTTCCATCATACTCCTATCAAAGAATGTCAAGAAGTTATTTATTTACCTTTACCAATATAACAGGTGACAGTGGTATACTACATTTTTCTAACTGTATTTCTCTTTTTAGAAACATCTTTGCAAAGATGTTCCTTTTCCGGACCAGCGCAGTGGCTCACTTGGCTAATCCTCCACCTGCGGCACCAACACCCTGGGTTCTAGTCCTGGTTGGGGCTCCGGGTACTAGTCCCGGTTGCTCCTCTTCCAGTCCAGCTCTCTGCTGTGGCCCAGGAGTGCAGCGGAGGACGGCCCAGGTGCTTGTGTCCCTAAACCCAGATGGGAGACTGGGAGGAAGCGCCCGGCTCCTGGCTTCAGATTGGCACAATGCCGGCAGTAGCAGCCATTAGGGGAGTAAACCAATGGAAAGGAAGACCTTTCTCTCTGTCTCTCTCTCACTGTCTATAACTCTACCTGTCAAAAAAAAAGTTCCTTTTCCATGAACTGTTTTTTATCCTTGGTTCAGTTTCCTATGCTGTTTTGCATTTGTGGAAGTGATGCAGGTAAGAGAAATCAAGCTAGGTTAGGTAAGACTTAGGCAGCCAGCAAAAGATTGGAGGGCTACTTGGTCAGGGGAGTAGCCACTGGTTACTAAGGCACACAAGGGTATGTGCTTAAGAGATACACTTTGCAAAAACTAAAAAGGAAACTTAAAAGCCTGGAGACTATAAATTAACAGGATAAAAGAAAAACCTGTGACTGTAAGCTAAGGAGCCCAAAGCCATAAATAGCAAGCTAACAGGGACTGGCTGAACCATAGATAATACACCTGGACCCGGAGACTGACCAAACGGGAAGAATGGGAGATACGGCAGGATGAGATCATCACATGATGAACATTATTCTTAAAGCACTTGTACAAACTTCCAGAGGGTATAAAACCTCCAGACCACTTCTTTGTAACAGCTTTTTTCTTGCTGAGAAGAACACTTCCTGGTTGCCTTCCCAGGAGTCTTCTCTGCTCTTTTCAATAAGGTTTCAGAAGGTCCCTCTCACTGAGCCACTTGGCAACAAGAGTTATCTCTGTTCACTCTGTTCACATCAATAGAACTTTGCCAAAAATCGCCCTCTTGTTTATTCATCTGCCTTATACTTCGTTGTGGATAAATCAAGTTCCCGGGGTCGCGCTCAGCTCTTACAGAAGCAGGAGAATGACCCTAGAGCAACTCACCAGCTGGCTTCTCAGGATCAAGCGCTTCACAGAACTTCCAGAAATGATAGAAGTCTTCAGGAAGGGAAAGCTTATAATGGTTTTCTACTTCTTTCCGAAGGTCACTAGAGACATCAGCTTCACAGGATTTGCTCTTCTTTACATCAACTGTTTTTTCGCTCTGGAAATGGGCATGTAAAACTTTAGTTCTCCAAAATTAATGTCAATAATTTTCAGTGCATAACAAATTTGCTCATTCTTTTGAGATACATGTGTCTTCTTAAAACTGGCTTTTCTCAGTAAAAGCAGATTATTTGGGGCAAAGAAAAAAGAACAGTTTATATGGTGATCAAAAGAGATCCCCACATCAAGTTTTAAAATTTTTTCCATTATCAGAAGCAACAAAAAGCTTTAAAAAAGCAAACCAACAACAGGAATAAAGAAAGATTTTGTTCTCTTTTGATTAATAGGATATCATTCTGTTTTTGTGGTTTGAACAAAGAATATCATTGATCACACCATAATTAAACTGTCAATAACCGAATATAAGGTGATTTGACAGTTAAACAGCTCTTCAGCAAAATAGTCCAACTAGAGTATTCACTACATTCATTACTGAGCCTTCACTTTAAAAGCAGGTAACTCCCTTTTAATACTCCAAATAAAGACAGAGAAGGTTAGAGACCATCATGCATCAACAGTCTAACAAAATTACCAGAACAACCACCACCTCTGGGCCAAAAACCCAATTAATTCAGAAAAGGCCTTTTAATGCCACAGTTCAGCTATAAACCTCACCTCTAAAACCTCTGCAATATAAGTATACTAGGTTTTATAATGTCTATTAGATATTTAATAAATTTCTGTAAAGATAAAACGCTCAGCTGGAGTTTAACTTTAGTTTGCTAAGTTCCTTAGACCAATTAAATGCAGTTGTTTCATTACAGTAAAAATAATTCAGGAATCAGGCAGCTCCCAGAACCAGAGGTTTTGAGAACTATAACCAACACTGTCAGGTAGCATTCACAGGGAAACAAAGCAGACACAAAAAACAACTGAACTGGCTACAGCCTAGTCAACCACTCAGTTGGTAACAGCTGAACTATTAGTTTACAGCCTTATCAGTTAACTGGCTGCTGGGCCTTCTGTGGCCAAAGCTGTTACTGATTAAACTCTATTAGTTTGGTCTGTTGGGGGAAATGCAGGTACCCAGTCTAAACCCATGGTCTTCCACGTTTAACAATAGCAGTCTGTTTTCCTTCTGGGAATCTGGAGGTTTTATTATAATTTTTTTCTTATTCTTATCTGGATCAATGTTTGTCAGCTGGAGGTGATTCTCATCTCTACCCCACCCTCAGGGGACATTTAGTTGGGATCTTTTTGGTTGTTATAATTTGGGGGAAGCAGATGCATACTACAGTCATCTAGTGGTATAGAGGCAAGGGATGCTGCTCAACATTCTACAATGTACAGGATAGGCCCTCTCAACAAAGCCTTGTCAATAAGTCTTCAAATGTCAATAGTGCTAGAGTTGAGCATTCTGACCTCGATGTTTCTGATATTACATTCTTCCATCAAGTTTACTAATTTTCAGTGCCATTCAAAGTCTACAAATATGTATTTAAGCATCAGATGACGCATACAAATGATGGTACTGTTCCTAAGAGCAGAAAAACAAATAAAACGCCTATTGGCAGAATGGACATAAAAGGCTCTCAAACAATGGAATATTATATTTAATGAAAGAAACACTACACAATATGAATGAATTTTAATATATTTAATGAAGAAAGATACCTTAAAGATTGTAGGCAGCATGCTATTCTTTATGAAGTTCAAAAACAGCTACAAACTTTTGTTTATGTAAACACCTATAGGAGATAAAGCTATAAAAAGAAGGCAGGGAAAACACAAGACTCAGGAAGGTAGCTAAATTGAACAGGGTGATAAGAGCTAGTTAGACAAGAAGTATAGGGGAGGAACACATTCATAGATGTAGAGCTACTGTCAGTGTTTCAGTTCTTGGGTTGATCAAGCAGTTCACTAGTGTTTGTTTTATTATTAAATAAATAAGAGAAGACCGTAGGTTGACCAATAAGTTTATTATGCCAAAAATCATAATGCATCTTTCTGAGATTGTAAAAAGTTGAAGAGGTTGTTGAAACATGGATCTAAAAGTGCGTGTCCATGAAAACTGCAAGAAAATAACCACAAACACACATACTTGCACTCATTATGCCATGTTCTAAGCAATTCTATGGATTAACTAATTTAACCCTGCCAACTATCTTATGAGCTAGACAGACCACCATTATACAGCTATAAATACAGCATAGCCAGAACCTATCAAGTCCTCTGTTGTTTTTGTAACTTTGTGTTAACTTTTGTTTTTATAAATATCTAAGATTAGATTTTCAAAGCCTGGTTCAAACCTAGGATGCTGGAGAATCCTTCTCTGGCTGCTGAAAGGCAGTGTGGTAGAAGGGTTAGGTTGCCTGGATTGACTCCTCTTGATTTCCAGCTCTCACCTGGGCAACTTCACCTCTCTCTACCATTCCTCATCTACACAGGCAGATTACGTAGTACCTATATCATAGACTGGCATGAAGAGTAAGTTATTTTAAGATAAACAGAACAGCCCTATCACATATCAATGCTGGCTATTACTGCTAGCTAGCTCTAAGTCTCCACAGGCTCATCTTCTGTTTTGGTATTGTATTTCTGACTAAGCCTATGACTCTGCCAAAGGCTTTCTTTACTGCCTCTTTTAAGAGAGATAAAGATCTTTCAGTTCTACCTTCATGCACACTCTTTCAGCGCCTCCAAAACCCTCACAACGAGGACAGCTGTTTCCTTCAGAGGGCAAAGGCTAAGTATCCTTTACCCTGGTATTCCTCCTTAGCATGGCCCAGTCTGGAGAAGGCCCTCAGCCATGGCCACGGAACAGCTAAGGAAGCTCTCCGACAACGCCTAACTTTATAAAACAGCCACAGTAATTTTTCTAAAACCTGAGTTATCACGATAACACTATCTTCGCGACTCCTCTGAACTTCAGTCGTTACAGAACTTGTAAAATCTCACAGAAGTTCGAGAACGCACATCCTGTGTATCCTCCCTCATTAGCGCCTTTGTGACCAAGCCCCTTTCTTTCCCAACCCCCAGGCTCCAGAAGACCGAACGCTCTCCAAACAGCCTGCACTTTCACGTCACCGGATCTCCCATTTCTCATCTCTGCCTGCAAGAACCATTTTCGAAGGTGAGTTGCCTTAAAAGTCTTCCTTAACAGCCGCTAAGATGTGTTAAGTCCTCCTTCGGTCTCCACATTTTCTACGGAGCTTCGTTACAATCCCAAACAAAACCGTTACAGAACACGGGCGCGGGGGTGCACTTCTGTCCCGCCTCTCCACGCTGGGGGCTCTACGTGGACAGGGCTAGCCGGATTCATCTGGAATCCGCGGCGCTCCGCAATGGCTCGCAGGTGCTCGGGCTCCAATCAATTTGGCCGGCTGAATGAATGAACCGTTGGTTGGCTTAGTCTGCCCAGGAAGCGCATCAAGAGGAGTCGGGCAGAAGACGCAAAGGCACCACTTGCCTGCTCCAACCCCAAGAGAGCGGGAAACGGCGGCCCTGGGAAGGGGCCTCGACACACAACAGGCGCCCAGCGATCACGGGACGTATGAAACGAGCTGCCCCTAGGTGCCCTGGCTGTGTCCCAAAGAGCCCCCTCGGAACCCGCACAGCCTTTCTTGGCAGTACCTGTTGCCCCTCCCCGCCGGGCCTGCGCTTCCCACCGCCGCCGCCGACCATTCTGCAGCCGCAGCGCCAGCGAAACCCTGCGTTCCGCGGCTGTTTCCGAGCACCGCCGACTGCTTCCGGGTTCAAAAGCCACCAATCCGAATCCTTGCACTGCCGTGGGCGCGCCAATTTAGGAGAAAGACTCCGCCCACTGAAGGCCGGGCCCGGACGGGCCGAGGCCACGCCCACTGCCTGCGGGGCGCGAGGGCTCCGAATCTTGGGTCCCGGCGGTCTGCGTAGCGGTGCAGGTTGCTGCCGACCACCGAGTTTGGGTGGGTCAAGGGAGTCCACCTTCCTCCTCAGGTTTTACCGGTGGCAGGCTTGTTTTTTCTTTAGGACTCTATTTCTCTGTCCCCGTCTCTCGCTCTCGGATAAATTTGAAAAAATTATTCTTTCCTTCTCTTCCATTCCTCTTCTTTGCCTACTGTATTATAATTGCCTGACACTAGTCTATCCCCAGTTATCTCCCAAAGGCAATTCTCTCTCCTTCTCCACCCCCTCCCTTTCGGAGTGCAGTGTAGACTGGTTGTTCTGCACTCCCAAAGTGTAGCCCCTGAACCTGCAGTCGGCATACTGCTGGAGCTTGTGGAAAAACACCGAACCCCAGGTACCACTCAGACTTCCTAAATCCAAATCTGTTTTAATAAGATGTCCCGCCCCGCCTCTTGTTCTTTGCACATCAGAGTCTCAGAGGTGACTCCACCGGGGGCCCGGGGTCTCCCTCATTGCCATCCTGGCAGGGTCTGTCTTCTCACTGCTGCGAGGGGTTCTCTCTTTGCGGAATCTGCATCTTCCTTTTTCTCGGTTTGGGGAACAGGTCCTCCCATAGTTCCTTCAGGAACATTGCAGCCAGATGCTGCTGCTCGTTCCCAGCCCCATCCCTTAGAGCCTGCAGGTCTGTCGCCCTCTTCATTCTAGTGAAGGTGGAATTCTAGGTTGAAAATGATTTTCACTCAGAATACTGGAGTATGCTAGCTCCCAGTATTGTTGAGAAACACTGTGCCATTGGGATTCCTTTACTTTTGTTGATGAGTAATTTCTTTATATGTGACCTGCTATTGCTGTTTTGTCTCAAAAAGTTTTAGGTGCGGTGGGCAGGTTAAACCTCCCCCATGGGTCCCCTGCATCCCATATCAGAGTGCCTGGTTGGAGTCCCAACTACTTTGCTTCCTACTCAGTTCTCCTTCCTCCCTCCTCCCCCTTTCTCCATGCCTTTCGAATGAACGAGTACTCTCTTTATTAAAACAATTAGAATCTCTTGTTTATTCGTTTATTCCCGGAGTTCTGGTCACAATCATGTATCTTGATGTATAGGCTGACTGTTTTCAATCTTTAAACACATGTTCTTAAGTTGTGGGAATTTTTCTAGTATTATTGTTTTTAAGATTTATCTATTTATTTGAAAGAGTTACACAGAGAAGGAGAGGCAGAGAGAGAGAGCGTGCATGGGAGTGAGCGAGCTTTCATCTGCTAGTTCACTCCCCAGGTGGCCGCAGTGACTGGAGCTGCCAGGAGCTTCCTCCAGGTCTCCCACATGGGTGCAGGGGCCTAAGGACTTGGGCCATCTTCTGCTTTCTCAGGCCACAGCAGAGAGCTGGATCAGAGGTGGGGCAACCAGGCCTTGAACCGGTGCCTATATGGGATGCTGGCACCACAGGAGGCAGTTTTACCCGGTGTGCCGCAGCGCTGGCCCCCTCTAGTATTATTTTTCAATAAGTTCCTTTACCACTCCCACCCCTCCTTGTGTCTCTTCTTTTTCAAGAATTCATTATTCCGTTGTTGGACTTTCTTGATGTTCTTATCTGTTAGTCTGTCCTTCTACTTTGTTTACATCTTCTTATTCTACTTTCAGAGTGCCTTTTCCAGCTAGACAGTTCTATCAAATCATTTCTTATGCCTTCATTTCTAACAACTTTTTTACTTTCTGGTCCTTATTGCATCACATTATTCTTTCATGGATATAGCTTCTTTTATCTCTAAAGGCAAATTACAGGGTGTTAAAATGCTTTCTACATAATTCTGCACTGGCTTCTTTTTGTGTTCTTTTTTAGTTTTTTGTTTGTATTTGTTCTCTGTCCTTTATCCCAGAGCTGTTCAACATCTTGTGTAGTGATCTTTGCTCTCTGTTCATATGTAAAAGTGAAAAGTACTCTGAAAAAGTACTTTGGGGGACATAGGCAGGGCTTCTCACCTGCTGGACAGGTGTACCGTGGTGGAGAAAGAGCACAGCTGTTTGCTTCCATAGAGTAATCTTCTAATTACTTTCTTTGGAGCCCAGTGAGAGAAGCACACAGAAGATCCTAATAATTTAAGCATGTGCACCATACTGGGATTCCGTGGAGAAACAACCAAAAGGATATCTATGTCTATATATATATCCATTTCTGTATATGTCTGTGTTTTCTCATTGTGGTTATGAGGCCTGAGAAGTCTGAGAATCCTCTGTCTGCAAGCTGGAGACTCCGGAAAGCTGGTGTTTTATTTGCAGCTCTGAGAGCACAGAATCTGCAGGAGCCAATGGTGTGGATTCCAGACCTAGGCTGAAAGCCTGAAAATGAGTTTCCCCAAGGACAGGAAAATATTGATGATCTAGCTCAAGAAGTCTGGCAGAGAGTGAATCCTCCCTTCCTCTACCTTTTTTATTAAGACGCTGAATGGATTAAATAATGCCTACCCACATTGATGAGGATAAACTGCTTCGTGTTTCACCCTCACAAACACACTTAGAGATAGTGTTCAACCAGATATTGGGGCATCCTGTGCTCTAATCAAGTTGACTCATGAAATTAAGTATCACATACACCTTCACTTAAATTATTGCTCCATTATGATACTATTGCTTTCAACTGTGTCTGGCATCACTGACTCCAAAGTCCTCCTGGTTCAGTGTATACACAAAGGAATAATTTTGCAGATTCTAGGTTGAGAATGAGGAATAGAGTTTTCTCCTGAGCTTGTTAAGTGAGAGAATCTAGGAGTCTAACTGCTTCTAGGACTTTCATCTGTCATTTTTTGGGTCATCTCAGTAGGAGGTATGGTGCTCCCGATTTCTGAACCTCTATGAGGGTCTGCAATGCCAATCAGCTTACTTGGAGGTCTTGCCTCTGAAAATACCTGGGATTCAGCTTTCTCTCATCTGGTCTGCTGTGCCAGTTTTCCTAGTCTGTATGTTTACCAGTGTATTAGCTTCCTTGAGCTACCCATAACAAATAACTATTCTAAATGTCTTATACAAATAAAACTTACTCCTTCACAGTTAGGGAGATATAATTATGAAATCTAGTTCCTGCTGGGGGCTACGAGGGAAAAATCAATTCCATGCCTCTTTCTTAGCTGGCAATCACATGTTGATGGACTCAGGTGATTTCTATACCTTGGCTGTTATGAAAAGTGCTGCAGTGAGCCTGGAAGTGTAGATACTTCTTCAACATACTGATTTTAATTCATTTATATATACATATGTATATATATATATACACACACAGAAGTGGGATTGCTGGACCATATTAATTCTATTTTTAACTTTTTGAGGAGCTTCCATACAGTTTTCCATATGGCTGTACTAATTTACATTCCCACTAACAGTGTACTAGGGTTCACTTTTCTCCACATCCTCACTGACTCTTATTATCTTTCTTTTTTGATAATAGCCATTCTGACAGATGTGAAGTGATATCTTGCGATTTTGATTTGCATTTCCCGGATGATTAATCATGTTGAATATTTTTTTCACAAACTACAATAGCACTATTTTTATACACATTAATTATTTAATCCTCATTACAACCCTATGAGATAATTCCTATTTTCATCCTCGTTTTGCAGATAAGAAAGCCAAAATTCAGAGAAGTGAATTGTTCAAGATCACACATCAAGTATTGGAGGTAAGATTCAAACTTAAATAGTCTGATAATCCAGAGCACTTTCAACACCAAGTAAGACTGCCTCTTTAGCAATTGGTGAAGTCTATAGAACCATGCAATTGCACTGAATAAGGTCTGTAGTTCAGAGAGTCAGTTGCATTTTTATCCTAATTTAATTGGAAATTCATATCTAAAGAATGCATATTTTTTTACTGTGTCTTCTGGAGAGTGGATAAAACTATGGCTCCCTCTTTGCCAGAATGGTCACTAAAAGAGGAAATAAGCTTTGCAACAATTATTTTCTGCTGTTCTTTTTAAGTTAATTGGGAATTTCTTTGTCACTACTTTGGGAGAAATAATTTATCTTCTTGTACACCATAGCTCATTGATACTTTGAGCATGTCTGTGTGATTACTGGGAAATCATCAAAAAAATTTCAGAGGAAATGGTTTGAAATTCTAACCTTGTTCTCCTCTCAATACTTAATTTTGCTCTAATAAGTGGGTGATAAGCCGTATCCTCTGTGGAGATTTCTTTCTTCAAAGACTTTTGGTAAAACTTCTCAGCAAGACAGAGCAAAATTTCCCTAGAAGTCAGCTAAAGTATATCTATAACTTTGTATAAGATTGTTGACCTTACTGGAAAAAAATTGTATTTGTTTTTATGATTTTTCATTTTGGTCAAATCTTTAGTAATGTATGATTAAATGGATGACTTTGTTGTTAATGATGCTAATGAACTTCTATAGAAAAATTTCTGTGAAAGTAAAAAAATTAATTGGTGATTATCAGGTTCTCTGATTCTCCTGTGAAGAATCAGGCATTGTGGCACAGTGGGTTGTACTGCTGCTTGAGATGCCTGCATCTGATATCAGAGTGCTGATTAATGTCCCATCTACTCTGTGTATTAGCTCCCTGGAGCTACCATAACAAATAACTCTTCTAAATGTCTTACAACAATTAAAACGTATTCCTTCACAGTTAGGAAGACTGTAAACATGAAGTCTAGTTCCTGATTGTATCCTGGGAGGCAGCAGATGGCTCAAGTTCTTGGGCACCTGTCACCCATGTGGGAGACCCAAATGGAGTTCTGGACTCCTAGCTTTGGCTTGCCCCAGTCCTGGCTATTGGAGCATTTTGGGAGTGAACCAGCATTTAGGAAGATGGAAGATCTCTATTTCTCTTTCTCTCCCCCTCTTTCCCTGATTTTTAAAGAGATTAAAATGACATAATAAACAATTTTTAGACAAAAACCTCAGTTAAAGAATTACAGTATGGCTATCCCTGTCAAAATATCAACGACATTCTTCACAGAAATAGAAAATAAAAAATCCTAAAATTCATGTGGAATCACACAGGATCCCAGATTGTCAAAGGAATCCTGAACAAAAGAAACAAAGCCTCATAATACCTAATTTTGAAACATACTAAAAAGCTGTTGTAACCAAAAACAGTGTAGTACTGGCATAAAAATAGACACATAAGCCAATGGAATAGAATTGAGAACCCAGAAATAAAGCCACAGAAAACTGATTTTTTTGATGAATGCACCAACTATATACAGTGGAGACAGAACAGTATCTTCAATAAATGGTGCTGGAAAAACTGGATATCCATATGTAAAAGGATGAGACTAGATTCCTCTCACCATATTTAAAAAATCAACTCAACATTGATCAAAGACTTAAACACAGGACCAAAATCTATGAAACCACTAGAAGAAAACACAGGAGAACTATCTTAGGATGTTGATTTGGACAAATATACTAGCAATAAAAGCAAAAATTGATAAACAGGATTATATTAAACCAAAAAGCTATACAATAAAGCAAACAGTAGAGATAAGACTAACATACAGGGGCTGGCGCTATGGTGTAGTGGGTAAAACCTCTGCCTGCAGTGCTGGCATCCCATATGGGCACCGGTTTGAGACCCAGCTGCTCCACTTCCAATCTACCTCTCTACTATTGACTGGGAAAGCAGTAGAAGATGGCCCAAATCCTTGGGCCCCTGCACCCATGTGGGAGTCCTGGAAGAAGCTCCTGGCTCCTGGCTTCAGATTGGTGCATCTGGGGAATGAACCAGCAGATGGAAGACTTTCTCTCCCTCCCTCTCTCTCCTCTCTCTCTCTCTCTCCTTCTGCCTCTCTGTAACTCTGACTTTAAAGTAAGACAAATAAAATCTTATTAAAGAAAAAAAGACTAAACTACAGAGTTGGGTGTTGTGGTACAGCAGATCAAGCCCCTGCTTGGATGCTCACATCCTATATTGGAGTGCCTGGCGTCAAGTTCTGCCTCCAGTTCTCATCCAACCTCCTGCTAATGTGCACCCAGGGAGGCTCCAGTGGAAACTTTAAAAAGTTGATCTCATAGAAGAAAAGAGTAGAATAATGGTTTCCAGAGACTAGAAAGAGTAAGAGGGAGGGGAAAGAGGGTGGCTAATGGGTAGGTACATGGATGCATTTTGATAGGAAGAATAACTTCTAATTTGATGGCATAGTAGGATAACTATGGTTGGTGGAAATTAATTGTAAATTTCAAAATAGCTTATAAAGAGAATTTTGAAAGTTCTTAATACAAAGAAATGATAAATGTTTGAGGTAATGGATATGTCAATTAGCCTGATTTGATAATTACACATTGTGTTCATGTATTGAAATATCACACTGTACCCCACAAATATATACTATTATTATGTGTTAATTTAAAATACAAAAATTAAAAATGATGCAAAGAATCATAACATTATTTTTAAATTTTTCTTTGAGAGGCAGAGAAGCAGAGAGACAGAAAGACCTCCCATTCATTGGTTCACTCCCTGAATACCTGCAACATCCAGGGATAGACAAGCAAAAGCCAGTAGCTAGAAACTCAAGCCAGGTCTCCCTTGTGGGTGGCAGAGGCCCAATTATTTGAGCCATAACCTGCTGCCTTCCAGGGTCCATATTAGGATGAAGCTGGATTCAGGAGCAAAGCCATGGCTCAAACTTAAGGCACTCTGATGTGGGAGATGGGCATTTTTACCAGCTTTTTTTTTTTTTTTAAGATTTACTTATTTATTTATTTGAAAGGCAGAGTTACAAAAATCAGAGCGACAGAGAGACAAAGGCAGAGAGAGAGAGAGGTCTTCCACCCACTGGTTCACTCCCCAAATGGCCGCAACAGCCAGAGCTGGGCTGATCAGAAGCCAGGATCCAGGAGCTTCTTCCAGGTCTCCCACACAGGTGCAGAGGCCCAAGGATTTGGGCCATCTTCTAGTGCTTTCCCAGGCCATAGGAGAGTGATAGATCAGAAGTGGAGCAGTTGGGGCTCAAACTGGCACCCACATGGGATGTCGACATTGCAGGCGGCACCTTACCGGCTGTGCCACAGAGTCAGCCCTGATATTTTAAAATATGTTTTTTATAGAAATATATGCCAAAGAAGATATATAATGCTTGATTTTTTGGATTCTAATGAATGAAAATTCAAAAAAGGGCTACCAGGTCTCTCTAGGGATATAGAGTTGAACTGATCATAGCCCTTTGGAGCATAACCATTATCTTGCCCTTTAAGTCACCCTGACAGTTATCCCAAATTTTATGGGGCAGAAGTCATTAAGATAAATACCTGGCTTGTGTTCCTCTGACGACCCTAGAAAGTCCCTGTCTAATGTCTGAATGTTATTGCTTCTTGAGAAAGTCCAGGTATACTTAGATTAGCTCAGGTCGCCTCTGTGTAACTTAACAGAGAAGCCCCTTACTATGGACTGGGGTCATGTGGATCCATCGACTTGAGGCTGCCTGAGTCCACTCTTCTGTCTGTAAGTCCCCACTGTATAAATTATAGTCTATGTCATCTTGAATTTGTTTTCTGTTTGATCTCTTGCCTCCTTCAGCCATCGGTAGCCAGTTCTTATATGCCAACTTTTTCTAGAACAAGTGAAAAGGAAAATAAGTGAAATGTTAAGATGGCATAATTCAAGATTCTTAAACAAAATACTAAAAAAAGGGGGGGATTCTAACCACAATTCGGATTTAGAAAACACATACTGCAACAATAGCTAAAGAATGTGTATGTTTTTTAAATCTGAAAGTTAACTGGATTTACTATGTAGGTGGTAGGCTCTGAGTGAAACATAGATTATTACATGGAAACAACAATTCCTATGTGCAAGTATTCCTTAAAAGTGATTCTTGTCTTCTTTTTTAAAAAAGATTTATTTTATTTATTTGAGTTACTGAGAGAGGTAAAGACAGAGAGAGAAGTCTTCCTTCTGCTGATTCACTCCCCAGACAGCTGCAACAGCTGGAGCTGCACCGATCCAAAGCCAGGAGCCAGGAGCTTCCTCTGGGTCTCCCATGTGGGTGCAGGGGCCCAAGGACTTGGGTCATCTTCTGCTTTCCCAGGCCACAGCAGAGAGCTGGATGGGAAGAGGAGCAGCTGGGACTAGAACCGGTGCCCAAATGGGATGCTGGTGCTTCAGGCCAGGGCTTTAACCTGCTGTGCCACAGTGCTGGCCCCAATTCTTGTATTCTAAAGTATGTATTTCCAATCTTTTTTGAGTATTCTCAAGTCCATAGATGTCACAACCAGCATCTTAAGTACTTCTTTGTGCATTTGTTGTGACAGCTGTTGAAAATTAAATAAAAGACAGGATGCATACTTAGGATTCCAGGTCTTTGAATGTAGCCAGACTCTGGGCATTGAAATGTGTTCAAGGCAAGATAATCACATACAGGGGAACTTGTGTAAGGAATTACAGGCTTAGATAATTCAATTCATAAAGCTTTGAATAGTGGAAATCATTTATCCTTGCAATTAGGAATGAGATGAATCCCTGTGATTAAGATCACTGCCAACCCCTGTAAGGCAATATTAGCTTTTGTTTGTTTTTATGTTTTTTAAAAAAGATTTCTTTATTTGAGAGGCAGAGTTACAGAGAGATAGGGGGAGAGAGAGAGAGAGAATGAATCTTCCAGTCACTGGTTCACTTTTCAAATAGCTGCAATGGCTGGAACTGGGCTGATCCAAAGCCAGAAGC